ATGACTCTACTTCTCCTCTACTTCAAGTGCATCAATAAATGAAGGAGCCTTCCAAAGAACAGCCCCACTAATACAGTGATTAGGCAGGTGAAACAGCTCTATATGCAGTCAAATAATAGAAATCGTGACAGTGCTCAAGTCGATTCGAGTTGGCCTTCAAACTCCACACTTTTTGTGTAGTGCGTTTACATACCGTTTTGTTTGCACAGGAAAATCTTTGATCGTTTTCTATTTTTGTTTCTGTTTAAGTTTACTGTATGTACAAGTTTAGGATATGTTTAGATGCAGATGTATCGTCTAGAAGCTCATTGCGTTGGTTCACTTCCTTCTCATCCTAACCAACACTTGTGTCCTATGCATCCACTTTAGCTCATAACCACACTCAGGGACTAGGACATGTTACTGGGTATCGCAGGTTGCGTGCAATCCGCGCATTTTAAACCAACTGGCTCTGCGTTGGCACCTTTTGGCTAGACATTTTCCGGGAATGAATCCATAATTCACTCATTTGGGTTCTAGCTCATTCGTTTTGTATGTGGCGGCTATCTGCTTTCTGAGTTTGAGTCACGCGTGCCAATCCAGGAAAACGACCAAGAAATCCGAATTCTGGAATCACGGTACTATTGCAAATATAATAATATACGTACTCAACAAACCTCAACGGATTCTCCTCTGCAGATACCGTAGGGTTACAAAAATAAGGCGAAACAATTACCAGCCTAAGGATAAGGCGCAGATCACTACGCCTCAAAATAGATATCGTCACAACCAAACAGATATCGACGGCGAGCAAACGCAAATTCACAATGTCCGACCAAAGTCCGTAAGAGTTACAAAAATAGTTCAGTAAAACAAGAAGGTTTCAGTTTATCTGGTCAAGGGGAATAAATATGAGGAATGGCTGTCACTTGGGGTTGGGAACGGGAGCACACTGTTGGCAAGCTGTCCTCTACGCCGCCACCCAAAATCCCAGTGGATTTCCCTCCATCAAGCTATGGTCAATACTGGCTCAAATATTTTACTTACCCCAAGTTCCGAGTGGACTTACAGCAGTACGCCAAACGGAACTTGCCCACGCGCCAACTCTCAGTGGTCTCTCTGTATGCGAGAGACTGCTCTCGCTCCGCTCTCCCTCCTGCGGAGAGTTGAGCGCGCGGTTCCCGTCTCCTTCCACCAGCCCTACTCAAAACTCTCTATCAAACCGATCTTACGCACATCCCTCCTAAGCCTACCATCTCGTGCGCGTACAACTACGCTCCTAACAAAACCGTCACCTGACGTTTCACGTTCATCATCCACGCTCACGGGCCACTGTTTCCGAGAGAACGCACCTGATTGCACCAGGACTACATCCTCTTCCCTGAAGTTCCTTTGAGGTTTCTGCCACTTAGTTCGCTCTTGAAGCAGAGGTACGTACTCCTTCACCCAGCGCTTCCAAAATACTTGAGTTCACCTGATGCCAACCTCTCGTATAACTCTCTGTTATACTTTCCAGCACAACTCCGTGTACCCTATTATTGAGAATGTGCAAGTCATTCGGCGTCAGTGCCGGCTTGTCGAAATAGTTGGTTTGATTAGGCACAATAGGGCGTCCATTCATTACCCGCTCTGCTTCCGTGAGAAACGTTACTAGTTCTTCGTCGTTCACATTCTGCTCATTTACTGTTGACCTTAGTATCCGTCTTACGGAACGTATGAGACGTTCCCATACTCCACCTCTGTGGCTGCTCAACGGTGGAGTGAACTGCCACTCGATGTTACACCGCGGTAGTTCAGCGCTGATGCGGGAATGTGAAGGTCGATTTATGGCTCATTTCAATTCCATCTCCGCTCCAACGAAATTGGAACCGCTGTCACTGATGGTATTTTCTGCCCCCCCTTCGTGCTATAAAACGCATCAACGTCTTGATGAGGGAGTCAGAGGATAATGAATAGGCCATTTCAAGGTGCACTGCTCTCATCTGTAAGCAGGTAAACGAACAGCCATACCTTTTCTCAGTCTTTCTTTCATTCTTAACTGTCAGTGGTCCAAAATAGTCACACCCAACTATCTTGAGAGGATGCCAGCCTGGCTGGATCCTGTCGACCGGCAGCGGCGCCATGGCTTGTCGTGAAGCCGTTGTAAGGTTCCTTCGACACGTCCAGCAACCGTGGAGCACCCGCTTAGTCATCAATAGTCCTTGAACGACCCAATATCTTTGGCGCAGTTCGACTAACGTATGCGATAGTCCACAATGCCCATTCAACACGTGAACGTTCAAAACTATCAACTTTGTGACGTTATGCTTCGAGGGTAGTATGATAGGATGTTTAGCAACATGTGGCCACAAAAGGTTATCCAACCTACCTCCTACACATAACAAGCCATCTAGCAATGTCGGGCATAAGCGTATTAGTTTGTGGTTGCGTACACTTCGTTCGTCAACCTTACCGGCGCGTTCTAATTTCAGCATGATTCCAGAGTATACCGTCTTCTGAACCATGCGAATAATATCACGCTCAGCTTGCCTCACTTCTGTGAGTTTCAATCCTCCAGTGTGCAGTGAGGATTCAGTTGAGCCACTTGCCGTCGTTCTCAGGTATGTTTTAAACCTCGTCAACCATACCACAGATCGTAGAAGTTTAGACCAATCGGAACACCTTCCCATTAAAAGATGCAACCCAGCTGGTTCCGAAGCGGCTGTCACGTTAACAGAAGCACGTTTCGTCTTCAATTCTATTTCTTCTGGTGTGAAATTTGGTTCGTAGCGTAACCACTGGGCCTCGGACGCTCCCAGGAAGGCCGGCCCCTTGAACCAATATCGAAGAACAGTCAGAGAACTTACTCCTCTAGAGGCTAAGTCTGCCGGATTGTCCTCACTCATTACGTGACGCCAATCACCGGGTGACGACAACTGATGAATCCACGAGGTACCACGAAGGTAACATAGCGAGCGGCAGCGTTCCGTATACGGTGAAGAACTATGGTTGTTTTCGTCCAGTAGGTTGTTCTTGAGGACAAAAGTCCTGCTTCTTTTCTCAGATCTCCCGCCACCCTTGCGGCTTCGGGAAGCTTTACTTGCATGAACATTTTATAATGTCTGCAGCCATAGCAGGGTACTCACTCAGGAAGTGCGAGAGAACTCCCAATAAACTCGCAGTAGTGTCGGAACCTTTACACGATCTATCGTTCAGGGATACACCCTTAAGCTTGGCCGCGCAATCTAAGACAACTCGAAGCTTTCCTGGTTTCTTCGGGTTCAAAACGGGGTGACGAGGTAAATTCCACTTCCTTTCGTCCCCTGATTTAGATTGATAAGTGGATAGAGGTGCGAGGTAGCCCTTAATGATGCTATCGTTCATGCGTTCTCTGTAGCGCGCTTACAAAGTCAGACCCTTTGCAAAACGCCTCCTCATGTATTGCAACCGAGAATGGGCTAGACGATAATTGACAGGAAGTCCTTCAGCCGTTCTTCACGACAATGGTACTTCGTGATGACCATCCTTGAATACTGAAGACTCCCCAACGATTCGAAGCGCTTCTTTGTCTTCGACACTTTGGCATAAGCCCGGAGTCTCCAAATCATTGAAATCAGCCTCATACAGAGCAGTAATGTTATCATCTTTCGTACTTACATGATGCACATGTCTCCAGACTCTATGTACTATAGACAACGGACCAAGTACAATCAACCCACAGGTGTCTTTAGAGCGCAGGGTTCCTTCTGCTTGCCCAAACTTTTCTTCATAGACTAGTGTGCCTCTGGAACGTCCTCTCCTATCAATATTCTCACACACTTATCTGGAAGCTCCACAAGGGTAATGTCCTTCAAGTGATCAAATTGACTATCTATCTTCGTTGGGCTCATGACCGGTGGGCTGATGGGTAGAGAGCGTATTGCAAAGGCTTGTTCAGCCGCTAAGGTCTCACCTGAATCTACTGATTCAAACTCCATTCTGAGACTTACAGCCACTACAGTAGAGGTCCCACTCACTGTCGATAAATTCAAGGTTGTTGGAGTGCCGGTCAGAGCAACCTCATCAAGCAAGTCCTTCATAACCAATGTTACGTCCGACCCACTACCCAACAATGCGTACGTGACAACGTTGCCTTGCGGACCACTCACACGAACCGGTACGACGCCAAGGCAGGTTCCTGATTCCTTCCGAGATGTCGAGTTGCACAAACCAACCAGTGTGGTTTTGTTGACATCCGGCATTACGTGCAACAGATGATGGTGAGAACCCAAGCAGCTCTCTACACCACACTTATTGGGAGAATCGCACTCGTTACTGGCATGGCCTGGTTTTAGGCATACAAGACATAACCGCTTCCTTCTCACCACACGCCATCTTGCTTGCACTGGCAAGTCAGTAAACCTCCGACATTGCACCAGTCCATGTCTTTTGTTGCAAAAAGGGCACGAGTCATCGGTTCCCTTCTGAACGGAAAATACATTGTGGCGCCTTTCATTGCCTACCCGATGATGCTGCGTTTGAGGACGATGGTGTTCTGAGCCTATGGTAAGCATACCATAGCGGCTGCGAGCAATGCGGCCTCTTGGGAAGCGAAGTTGCACAGGTCAGAGGAACCTATCTGTTTTCCAAGGTTGTCCATAGAGTCAGCCAACCTTGCCCAGTTCCGACGAGCATCCTTCGATAACGTGCGAAGAACGCGCTCTATGGTCGAGACCGAATCCATGTCACTAGTATGATTCATCTGACTCAGAGCAACCTGACAGTTTTGAAGATTTATCGACAAACGAGACAATGAATCTGCATCGTCATGCAGCGGTTTCACTTTCTTGAACAGATCATCCAGTATGGCTCTGGCCACCATATGTTCTCTCCCAAAGAGATCCTTAAGTATTTCCCTCGCTCTACCGTAAGCAATCTCTGGAGGCAACATTACGCATTCAGCCACGGCTTCCTTCGCAGGACCTCTGCAGTAATGGATCAAATATAGCATCCTCTGTCCACTATCTTGCACTCTATCCTCTATGTAGTATTTGAACTGTTGAATGAATCTCCAACCTTGGCTTGGGTTGCCATCGAAAGCCTCTAAGTCCACTCTAGGTAGGTCTGCCTTAACCACGCAAGAAGTCGGTTTAACCGCTTGCACATATGGGATGGGTGTGCTACTTAAAATCCCGGCTAGGTAATCCTTTACCTTACCCTGCAGGTCAGCCTGCACGTCAACGACGGAATCATCGTCCGAATACAGCTCTAACTCCGCTAGACGCACCTCATTACGCGCCCGCATAAGCTGCAATTCTTTCTCCATTTCTTTTGCCTTAATCTGCGCTCACAATAACGCAGCTAACTTTAATCTTTATGCTTGAGTGAGTAAGAGCCAGGAGATGAACCAATAGCTAAAGGATTGCCAGAACGGCCGAATTGCCTCGATTCCTCCGGTAGATAGAGATTGACGGGGAATCTGCGCTCACAATAACGCAGCTAACTTTAATCTTTATGCTTAGATGAGTAAGAGCCAGGAGATGAACCAATAGCTAAAGGATTGCCAGAACGGCCGAATTGCCTCGATTCCTCCGGTAGATAGAGATCAATTGACGGGGCTTTCCCCATTTCTCCGAGTCCGTTGATCGTTCAGTACTGCGTCCGTAGATCGTTGGGTACTGGAACCGCTGAGTACTGAGACCGATGAATACTGCGACGGCTATCTGCTTTCTGAGTTTGAGTCACGCGTGCCAATCCAGGAAAACGACCAAGAAATCCGAATTCTGGAATCACGGTACTATTGCAAATATAATAATATACGTACTCAACAAACCTCAACGGATTCTCCTCTGCAGATACCGTAGGGTTACAAAAATAAGGCGAAACAATTACCAGCCTAAGGATAAGGCGCAGATCACTACGCCTCAAAATAGATATCGTCACAACCAAACAGATATCGACGGCGAGCAAACGCAAATTCACAATGTCCGACCAAAGTCCGTAAGAGTTACAAAAATAGTTCAGTAAAACAAGAAGGTTTCAGTTTATCTGGTCAAGGGGAATAAATATGAGGAATGGCTGTCACTTGGGGTTGGGAACGGGAGCACACTGTTGGCAAGCTGTCTTCTACATTGTATGCTCATCTATCATGCCATTACACAACACACATCTAAGTATCCGGCATCTGTGTGGTAATGGAAGACTTGTTAACAGCTTTTGCTAAAGCAATCTGTAGACGCAATCTTAAGCTGTTGTTTTTAAAGGATCTTTTGTTTATAATAACACCTTTTGAACATTTCTCCCAATTGCAAATGCACTCTTTTTGAGCAGATAAGTGGCCGTTCAACTAGAAGCATAATATGAGATCTTGTGGCGTGGCAGCTTAAAGGTAAAGCTGATTCGTTCAGTAGGGGCTTGCAGAGACCCGAACAGTGATCCGGCTGTATTCCAGAATATGACTCATATGATAAGAATAAAGATAGATGTTTAGATCTACCACCTTTTCGGTGCCTAGCAGCCATGCTACCCGAAGTAAGCACGAGGGCTAAGATACTGCATGATCGCCCAAGCCTAGACAGGAGAAGTCGAGATGCATAGGTCATGTTCGGGCCACGGACCTTTCGGTAGGTAGATTCGCGATCTAACCCGTCCCTGACCCGGACTACACTGCACAACTGATGATGTTGAGTGCACGGTGTCACTTCAAGCAAACGAGATAAATACACACCGTGATAAATTAGTCATTTCCAAACCAAGTTAGAATCAACCAAAAATTCAACCGAATCTCTCGTTTATAATGGTTTTAAAAAAACGGGTGGCATAAGGCCACCTCATCTTTCAGTTGGCACTTCAACTGAGATATTATGACACAGAGAGAAAGTTCAGTCTTGTTGCCTGTTAAAACTAACTTGATTGGTAAATGATCTGGTGTCGAAAAAGAACATGAGACTGACAGGAAAATCTTCTACCGCAGCCACTTGATGAGCTTTCAGGAGGACGAAAGCGACAGTGGTCTATCCTGTTGATTTCTGCAAGTGAAGTGATGTGACACGAATGCTGAACGTGCTCACAGTGGTTTGCTCTTCTTTGCGAGTGTTAGTAGGAATTTCTAACCCAGGTGAGCTTTTACGGATTTACGTAGCCTCTGATGTTATTGGGTTTCAGATAGTTCAACTCTTTGCACCCTCATTGTAAACATTCACCATGAGGTCCAACACGATCGCCTTAAAAGAATAACACCCAATGGATGAAGCGAACTTTCGTGTATTTTGCCACTGAACGACGCACAAAATATTCCTCACCTTGCGGAAGAATGTTCCATTCATTTATCCGTTTTCTTTAAATCTGAATGAACACACCTTTCTGGATTCATAATCCCCAATCACACCATCAGTTTTGGGAACGGTCATACTTAGACTGAAAAAGCTTGTCGATTTAACAACAGACAGAAGTGAGTGGTGTTGAGGAATGCCCAGTGTGAAGCATCAAACTGGAGTTTAGGTTTTCCAAATCCGATTATCTCCTGTACTTGAGGGGGTTTCGTTGAGCGACGCGCAACTGCTGACGATCACAGCTGTCGAATATGAGTATTTTTCAGAAAGGTGGAAATATAACATCATTATAATCTATAATTGTGTGAACCCAAAGTTGTGAATAGTCTTGGGTAGAACACAAATGCGTATTACTTCCGCACGAAGCAAGACGCCGAAGTGGAAGCACGTCTCTGTGGGCTTGACGAACCACGTTTGGCTCAAGGCCGCAAGTTGTATCAGTAAAACTCTGTGTAGTCAGTCAAAAAACAAAGTTAGGGTCTCAGGAAAAATGTAACAGTGAAATACTTGACCACTGCTAGTCCCTCGAGTGCATTTGCTGCACTTCAAAAAACTTTGGTGCCAACACAGAGGTAATTTTCTCCATAGTTGAGTTTTGAAGTGAGACAATAATTTCAAATTTAACCCCATGAACAGGCAAACGTTAACTACGGCGAGGTGTTTTATTCTACATTCACCGGTCGTTGTGAAAGACATGCGATTGAAAAAAGGAAGACCCGCAATTGAGACGCTATTTGAAGACCATCATTTTCATCATGAACATGACTGATATTGTGAGGTTTCCAAAAAGTGGTGTATATTCACATTCAGTCTATACTGCGTTGTTCATTACGTAAGAACAAATGAGAACAATTTAACTAGAAAAAATGCACTAGTCACGGGGATCGAGTTTGATGAATGTGCCTGATGTGCCCATCATAGACTGATCCAGTTCTTTGTATTCTCGTATGTAATTTCGGGCCGACGATGGTCTCTTAGATTCATCTACAGCAATTTCTTGCAAAACATTTCCATTTGCGTAGAACTCCCTGAGTTCCCGATTGCAGCGGGCTGAAAAAAAGAAATAAAAGTGCGTAATTATCGTAGCCACTGAATTTTTCTGCTTGGTGAGAATAAAACTTTCTGGTTTGTGTTGGTTTTAACCAAAGATTGACAGCGAAAAATGTGTGACTGAAAGCTTCATTGCGATTATGTGCGTTTTAGAATGCTCTTCTTCGTGGGATTATTGAAAGAACGGACTAGACGGAAGATGGTCCCTTGCAAAGTCCGTGTCTTTTACGGTGTCAGACAAACTGATGCACTACCTCCGCCAAAAGTGCTACATTTTTCGCATCAAATCAAACATCGGTGCCTGAGAAAAATCATCCAGAGGTGTTTGTTCAGTGCAAAATGTGTCCGTTTTTGCACGGTTCATTGTAATAGGCTAAACCAATCAAGATGGTATCAATACTGGTGCACCTGTGATACTGCTGATGGGAGAGGCATGCGAGTAGTATGTTTTCTTCTTGTAACTTCGCTTGAAAAGGGAGATCTATTACGGATTTGTGGAGTTGCTTTGTAGAATTTGCTTGGACGTGAGCAAGACTCAATGATTATTCAGGAAAGTTTAGGAAGACACGTTCAAGAAAAGATGGATATTCAGTTTCTGTAATTAAGATGCATATGAAAGTTTTGCTTTCCTGTTCAATAGTCTGTAACTGGTCAGTTGGTATTTTCTAATGAGTAACTCCGCAGCGAGCGCCCCCTGCTTCCACTGGTAACCATGGTGTTCAAATTTACTGTTCAAGTAGACCAAAACTGTTGCTCAGAACTGTTGTTTTCACTTGATAATTTCCCGGGTTCTGTCGGTTTTCCCCAAGCCATTTATGTTTACCACGCATTTTACACCGTTCGGACGCCGCTAAACAGTGAAACTATCGCAGACTTATACTTATTTCTGTTCACCTGTTGTTGAGCTTAATACAAGGATGCCAACAGATTAACTGAGACTAGCCGTTCATCAGCTAACTAGAATAGGGACATCAGACCGCCAGAATGAAATATCCACTTTGCGAATGCCAAACGTTAGGAAAACGGGAAGGGAAGTTACGGAAACTTTGAACTCTTTGGGATTTAGGTGTACCATATTAATTAAAAAACACTTGAAGTTTACTTCTTCCTACTTAACCCGAATTCCGTTTGGGGAGAGATGCTTATGGTTCTCACAAGTAGTGTTTCCTAAAAAAATTGCAGAGTAATTCACAAGACGAGCGTGTACAAAGCACACAGGATAGTGGCCTGAGTGCCACTGGGTGCCGGGACAATCAGTTTGGGGATGGCGTGGGGTGGTTAATTGGATCTAACTTTACTTGGATTTTGTACTTTTAGACCTAGACCATTTTGCTAATCAGCCGAGATGACACGAGGTGGTGTGCAGTTATCAGCGAAATAGTCTGGGTTTAAAAGTACAAAATCCAAGTAAAGGTAGATACAATCAACCACCCCACCCCCATCCCCAAACCAATTGCCCCGGCACCCCTTGACGAACACAGGTGAACAAAATCTGCGAGTGACATCAAGAGAAATTTTCCATTCAGGTGTCCTAGACTGAAAAAACAAGGACGAAAAATCTGGGTTCATCATGAAGACAAATCCTTCCCCCTTAACCAATCTATCGTAAATGTTAGTCATCCCCACTAGCCAACAAACATCAGACTGAACACCCGACACTGATCAAGTCGGTTAGTCATAAGAAATCTCACGGGTTGGTTCCCTGACTGCCTTAAAACCCAATCAACCTACTTACTTACTCACTTAGCCTGACGAAACTTTTTTTGTCAAAAGCGAAACGTTGCCCAGCATTAAATCCACCGATTGTTTACCATACCTCTCTCAAGCTTCGTCTTTGACTTTCCTCGACATTCTTCGATAAATAATCAATAGTGAACGAACAATTCAAAGGTGCTCCATAATTTCCGTGGTAAACTTCACCTTTCATCAAGGGAGCACCAAACAAGACACTACTCGCATGCTCCTTCAGTAGTATGAACATCTACAGTGGTAGTAAGCTCCAATCGCAGGTTGGATCACCTAGATCAAGCCTATCGAGTTTTGCCAGGGGCGAAATCAGTGTGGCGTGGTCACGTTTCTGCAAATTCAGTAACCTCAATCATCTTGGTGGGGAACTACATTTTTCCAGGGTAGTTTGCAGCTCACCCCGGCTTTATCTTGGTTCATGAGTAAGAAAAATTTTTGCAATGAATAATCTACCATCCACCGTTGTTTTCATTGATGTATCAACAGACATTTCAAAGAAACACCCGAAAATTCCTCAGCAGAGTAATCATTGCCTAAATCCTGTCGTGGATTTCGTGCTGAAAGCCCAATCTGTAAGAGTGTAGCAGAATGTATATCAGGTGCCCTATTGAACATGAATGAAATTCCACCGAATATAGAAGTGAGAAGCAGTTCCTCTCATGTTTGAGAAGATGTCTCATTCGAAGTTGGAAAAATTAGTGCTAGCTAGAATATTTACACCTGTCCTTGGTATAGTTTGTATGGTTGCGTTGAGTGTTGATTGTGACTAGAGTTTTATTCATGCAAAAGATATTTTCACCTCGGAATTCTTCCTTATTGTCACGTGTCCATAACTCTGCATTTCGTGATAAAAAGGATGATAGCAACTGAGCTCGCTTTCTTGATTGGTCCTGTTGGTTAATATTAACAAATTGATATGATACACAACAGAAATCACATGTACAGTTAGATGATTACTTGCGAACGTGTACATTTTGCGTGTTTTCCGACATACTTTTATTGTCAGCTTTCAGCATCGCCTTCGTTGGAGAATTTTCTAGTTTTTTTACCTATAAACTTTTCTGTAATGAATGATTTATCTGGACTATGTATAGGAGGTTCACATGAAGCTCAAAGCCAGTGTTCACTACAGTCATTCAAGGCACACTGAACAGGTGAAAGATATGCCTGAAAGGTTTCATAATTTCGGTATCTGTGGATGGTTTCTTTGGCTATTTCGAGAGTAATGTATTGTCTGCTACCAACCAAACTACTTACACACGGGCACGAGAAGAGGAACACTGATCCGACTGTGTACTGATAAGACCTTCTTGAATGGTTACAAAATGTGTACAACTGGATTGCCGAGCTTGTTGGCCGACAAATAATATTTGCATGGTGTTCTATCAGTAGTCAAGAACATGGAAAATTAAAAAAATGGAAGGGATCTGTGCATCCAGACTCTTGTTTTTTGCACCAACACTCTTGGTTTTTCAGGAAACTTAAATTTCCTGAGACCTCGTTGTCTCCCTGTTAGATGGATAACTAATGGGAACCTCAAAGTGAGCTTCCGTATTGACTGTTAACTTTTATTTCCACACCTTTGTGGCTGCGTGATAGAATCCGTCGCTTATTCTCGAGTTATCGCTCTGGATAAGTAATACTATTACAAACTTAGGACTTAGAAATGCAGGTGCAACTTTGCTGGCTTCCCTTATCAGGTCCGATATGAATAAGCGCGTCTCACCCTGTCGATCTGAACGTGAATGTGGACCACAAAGCGCAAAAATGTACAATAACTAACAAAAACGATGAGAAAAATTAGGAACTTGATTTTATTATTTGATGTTGGCTTAGTTAAGTCAAATAAATTTAAGTAAGGCGTGAATCATCGTTTAGTGAATTTGTAGCTGCATCCACACTGCATTCGGGACGGCTTACAATGTGCAGATCTGCGTACTCATCTTGTTGTAGATGGTCAGCCAGTCAAAGAAAAGTTCAGTCGGGAGGTGCCCTCTGTCTGTGTCGATAATGTTTACGACAAGAACCACTTTACGTGACGTTCAAATAGTAAACCTTGTTCAATGGTCTCAGACGTGTCCACGAGGATTTTCTCTTTGAACCATACACTAATACAGAATCTGTTTCCCCTCCATTTCAGGACAGAAGTCCACTTCGTTGGAGATGGGAGTCAGAATTGTAAGGCACTGTGTCGAGGAGAATTTGTCACTGAAGGTGATACCTTTGGTGGCAGACTTCTTGTGGAGTGTGTTCGTTCTATCTTTAAATCTAAATGCATTGTGTTCAAGTCAGGCTTTGATTTCTTACGCTGTACCACAAGACCACAACGATGCACATCAGATTTATCAAATATTTTTCCATATGACCGCCCAAACGCTTTCAAATTTTCTTTTTTAAAAAATAATACAAACATAAGGTGCATTCGACAAAACGTCGACTCCATTTCTGCAGAGACTAGGTGCATCCCTCACAAAAAGTGATAATACGCGGTGTTTGAACGCCACAACGAAATTTTAAATGGTCTTTCGGTAAATCGTCTCTTGTTACCCCTTAAATGCGACAAAAATAACTACCTGCATTAAGCAAATTTTCGGGCACACACCGAAGTGAAACTACACACCAACTAAAAGACGAAGTAGGTTTTTTGTAATGCTGAAAACAGCTCGACAGCCCACGACCGGTTTTGCCCTTCTTGGGGCTCATCAAGTAGGTGCAGCCCCCGAGTTTCCGTTAACCTTATGTTCTACTTGAATTAAATTGCACGAAATCAGCGAAATGCACTCATTTGTAAACTAATTTGGCTTTTCGATAGACCCAAATGGAAACATTAAAACCGACAGATTCAGTTGCGTTCCAGGCGAGCCCCTCGAAAAACCAAATTAGTTTGCAAATGAGTGCATTTCGCTGATAAAGTAGGCTTCATTGGAAATCCAGCAGCGTCTTCCCTTATTGGTTTTCTGAACCTTTACTCCAAGAGCTTGGGATACCTAGGAAGTCCTTGGGGGCGTTGTCATTCAGGGCACACTAGGTCTATCTCGAGTTGACACATACATGTTCTATTCTATTTGTACCTTGAATGTTTCAGAGCATACTCCGACTCCCACGTCAACTAGTGCTGCCTGGCGTCGTAAAAGTGCGCTCTTTAGCTTGTACAGCCTTCGAAATCCATTAATCCATCCTCGATGGCTCAAAATGCAACGGGCTGTTCCAGTTGGACACCGTCTTCATCACCTCTCTGGACTGCCAGTTGACGAAGTGCTCATAAGTTTGTCCGCAGTATCTGACGTGTTGGTCAAATTTGTTTTCTCCGTTCGAATTGGAGCATATATTATATAACAGTAACATGGACCCAGAAAAAATTCGCAGAATGCAATGCTGACCTCAAGATCTATCGAGATTCTGTGCAAAACAATCAATTATGTTCTAAAATTCACCAGCAGCACAGAACGCTACTCTACAGTAGAGGACTTTTGCAATTTAAAAATGCGTAAGCAAGAATAACTGGTCACAATATTTGAAGATTAACGTTAATCCTGGCTGGTCTTTTGGGGTTTGCCTGTAGGCACGTCGCACGCAACTAGATATCCAACCGAAGTTCTGGAATTAGACCGGAGTCTGTGAAGAAACTCGCTTTTATTAGGATTTACTAGTGTTTGATTACTATGATTACCGGGTTACACAAAAAATAAGGATTACTTGGCATCAGTTAACTGTTCATTGAAGAAGTTGTTATCAGACAAACTTTTCAACGGAAAATAATTTTAGACAGACCAATGAACGAGGTGAAGTTGGCATTACGCAAATATCACTATGGGTAAACGCGCTAATAAGAGATGGTGCCCACTTCACTTATACAAGGGAACTCACCTAAAGCTTCTTCTAGAGTCCCATTTTTTCCATGATATTCCATCGGAAGCACATCTTTCAATCCTGGAATCTTCTTGAATGCTTTGTTGATATCATCTTTCACTCGGGTTACCTAAGAGAAAGAAAGGCTATTTTGAAGCAACTGCAAAAAACAGAAATTTTTATGGCAAATCAATATTTAACCAGATCGACTTAGTCTTTTCTGTTACAGCAAACTCAAAATGGATTCACAGGTTGTTTGAAACGTTGAGTTTTACAGAAAGTTGTGTACACTATACGTATTCACTATGCTCGTAGACGACTGAGTCTGTATTGTTCATCAGTTTCTCCCTGCTAGACGCTGCTTATCTGAAGATTTACACAACTTTCCTTTTTCTCAGCCTCAAACTCCACCGGGAGTAGTAGTATCATTAAGTGCTACATCCTTATTTCGTTAATTTCAGGCACAGCTAGCCGCCTATTGATTTTCAGTCTCAGGGGAAAAGTTAGTTCTTTCACCTTTCCCGGAACTTTATGTGAAATTAGCTTGATGCTGCATAGTTATTGACGAACTGTGATAGTAATATTCATCTTTGGCTGCATTAATTCTCCATCGATTTTTCCAGGGGTGGTTGTGAGTGCCAAAAAAATTAATGAAAAATCAAGTTACTAAAGATGAAAATGAAAAAGTGGAAATTAAATTCAACTAAAAAGGTTGGCAGAAATTAAAAATTTGTGCTACGTTACTCTGTGGAATTAAATGTATGCGCATCCGCGTCTGAAATTTATGGGTGAGTGAGTATACTGTTTTCCTCACACGAAAAATGATTAGGACAAACTTTCAACTGGAAAAGACTCAAACGCTTTCTGCGCGAATAACCCTGGTTTAGGCAAACAGAATTAAGACACGTAAACTATCAAAAATGAGAACAGATGTTGGTTTTGGAAATCTGGTCTTACCCTGTTTCTCATTTTTTCGCTCAGCCATACTTCAGCGAGTTTGAAAGCAAAATCAAACAGCTTGGTCTCTTTGTAGAAAATCAGGTTTTTCACCCGGCCGGGAGAGGATTCCTGAAGAGGGTGAAATTACAGTGGATCAAGTGAATAACCGAGTAAAACATTATCGTACGTCCTCATACGCTTTTACTTCAACACGGTCCCAAATGTATTTTGACTGGAGAATGTCACCGGCATTTGACCCAAATTATGCGCTTGATCAATTACTTTTCTAGTTGGTGTAGCTCAACAAAAGTGTTCATCTTTCACTTTCCGCTGCAAGTTTCAGTTATCCGCCCCTGTTCGTCACAAATTAATTATGTGAGTGTAGATAACGGTCGTTGTGTGAAAATAAGAAACAAGCTGAGGTCTAAACTCTAAGTAGGCCGTCGTGTTTTTGAAACAGTCTAACGTGAGAGACTTTGTCTTGTGTGAAGGTAGTAGATACGGACAACAAGAGATCCGCTAATTCTGGAAAAACTATTACTCTGCACCAAACCTTGAAGCATCTGTTTGTTTACATACAATGGCCCAATACTTTAGGTTCTTAAGGCGATTAGTAGAAAGTTTCTTTTATTGAGAATCGGACAGGTCAAAGAATGTGGCTGGAAATGCAAGTCGGCAACGTGTTCCAGCAAGTTTTATCTAGCAAAGGTTCAAAATACTGGAATCAAATTCCCATACTTGGCCAGTTACAACATTTGGTGTGCAAGTCAAACCCTACCGCAGTCACTCCTAATTAGTAAGGTGATAATCTGGGAGAGTTATCATGGCGAGTGAGGCTAGAAAGACCGGTTCTTGGAATGATCCCGATAAGGAGGCGAAATAAACAGAAATCGCATTTGACCAAAAATGCTTGTAAGTTGCCTTCTCACTTAGCTAAAGTAATTACACCCAATCAGTTTAACCAGTTTTCTCTGTGAGTACGGATATAGGACCCAGTCGGTATGGTAAATGAGGGGTGATGAGACACTTAGCAATAAACTCAATCTATTTATGAGGTTTAAAAGCAAATAAGAAAAATTGCGCAACACATTAGAACACAAATGGCTTAGTGATCGTGAGTATGCGGAAAGATGGGTTTTATGCTAAATCCTCAAACGTGTGGCAAAGCGTCCTAGCCTGTGTTATGCAAAAGGAGCCTCCTTGGAACCTATATGCAAACGAAACAGCATCACTCGGTTAGAACTTACCTGCATCAGTTTGAAAGCACTTTTGGCGTGCTTGAAATCCCCCCACTGTGTTGCTTGTTCCATGGTAGTGTGAGCCATGTCGATAAAAAGAGTGAATCCTCCTATTTGACAACGTTGATCGAACAGAAGTCTCTCAAAATTCATATTGTTCATCGCGCGCATGGCAACCTGATCCAGTTCAGCCGGTGACCAGCTGGCTAAATGGCAACTCGGAGTGGATGTTATCAATCAGACTTACCTAACCGAATCAAGATTACATACATTCCGTTATCCATGAATCCTAGTGGAACGAAAATCCTGCACCAAGAAAGACGGCATGTAGGCATTTTAAATGTTTCAAATGAAACACGTACCTAGAGATATAGGTAGGAACCGTCCACCATTACGTTGGCAGTTGAAGAGTGCACTACGCAAGTTAACCAGTATCGAGGACAAAAAATGAATGAAACTATTCAGTGATAGGCGAAGGAGCCGGTCACAGAAGTGGATCAAGTTCGTAGAGGATAAGCGCCATTATAGAGCATTAATTCTGACGTTGAAGCGCCTGGTGCAAGGCAGATGTCCGCTGGAACACTGGATCATAATTTTGGCAAGAAATTTGAAAGACCGGGTAGCTTATGGATCTGGAACCAGGTCCACAGTGCAATTGCTGGTCCATACCAAATCCGTCTCATACGGAAGATAACACTACCAAATCTGTAGCAGTAGTTCAATGAGAGGCAAATGCGAAATACACGGCATTCTGAACTTAATCAAACATTTTTTGTGTTTCGGCGCAACTGGCTGGATCAAACTTATACAGTCGTATTCGTCCTAAGGCAACGCAGCTGAAAATTTGACAAATTTCACTAGCGGAGAAAGAATATCGATCCGATTCGTTGACAGGATGTGTACCCTGTTGACATCAAGGCAGCTGAGACTGTGTCTACCTACATACCATTTTTGCACAAATCCTCTAATCTTGGTAATGAGCCGTTTAGAGTCGTTTCCTCATGGAATTGCCAGGGCCAGAAAATACTCAGTAGTGCGTATTTTTAGAGTGCAGGTTTTCGTATGAAACGTAAATACACAAATTTCAAGTTTATGTGAGTAGAACGCTAGTTCCGGCCATCATTGCGAGCTACCAGTAGAAAGTACGAATGGTTCCAAATATCCCGGAATACCAAATAAGGCTCAGAGGCACAAAAGTTTTCACAAACAATGCAGTCATTACGCTGAGTAACAGCTCCATAACTTGGAGGATATGAGAGCAAAAACGATGGTGTTTAAGTCATGTGTAATGCTATATCAAACACACCTCGCAAGAAATAGAAACTAGTTTTCCACGGGATCAACAATAACTTTGGCTGTTTATGACGGCGTTGAATTTCACCATGACAACATCCGGTTCTAGATTAGGGGTTTGACGAATCAGCTGCTCTACTTTTCCTCCACGCGCTACTTGGGGCTTCCGCTATCTAGATTTCTATCCCCGATTTACAGCTCGAAGATTCGTGTGAATTAAAAGATTAAACAGCTAATGCAACTAAGTTCAATGGCAATGATGAACTGGTGTTAATAAGACGAGCAGTGTCCGCATCTTTTTTTGTGTCACATACTATCGTACACAGAACTATAGGCATGCGGCAATATCCACTTTGAATACTATTCGTATTCCTGTGAACAGGCTTAAGCAACTGATTAGTGAGATAAATAAGCAGTTGGACCAATCAGCGGTGATTAAATAAATGGACAAACTAACACGTGAACGAATGAAGGGACAAGTGAGTGATTATATCACTGAACGAATGAATAGGTGACTGAATGAATGAACCAGTCAGGCAGTAAATGAATGAATTATCTATTCAGTCAGTTGGTGTAGAGGAGTAAAATCTCAACCTAGAGACAACCAACTACCAAAGAGAATGACCATCCCGCTGTGAGCATGAGATAGCAATTATATTGGTTGAAGGGTGTCACCACTGTTTGGTCATCAAACCTCTTAAGAGATGGAGAAAGACTCATTTTACTCGACAAGATTTTCCAGGTAAATGGAGAGCCATCTTAGGAAAACCTCAATAAATGGAGCGTTTAAAAATTTCGACCGACTTTATTAGGCATTTGAGATGTTTTTGCCCGAGGCGTAGCAACAAAAGTGATAGGAAGACAGAGGAATAATTAGTCAAAGCTTATCATACCCGCCGGAAGTGAAAGTTGACTAGACTTGCTCCTGAGTAATTTTGACAACTGTCCGACTGGCACCGAGTAGGCTAAATAGTCACCGAACCTAACCGATAACTTGACAGTTACGAAGCCATGGACCTAGATTCCACCTGGTCTCGTATGATCGGATCCCTCCAAGCCCATTCAAACGAATGCTGTTGTCTTTATTGAAGTTTATCAGTTGGCCACACATGGATGGGACATGTGAACCATCGGTTGGAAAGTTTAGGCCTTTCTTTCCAAACCACATCAATGAACTATTTCATTCCAGTGTGAAACTCAGTTTGCACCAGCTGGTAACTCGTTCAGACAATCATCCGACCGCTGGTAAATGGCTAAAGTGATGTATGAATGAACCTGAAGAAGGGCACTAGGCAGCAACACAGACTTGCCGGCGGACTTGCCGGTCCGTCCGATGAAAGTCTGAAACTTATAACGGGAGATGATATATCCGATCCCACACGACCAGTCTAGATAAAGACTGATACGTTAGTGTGACTGAGTTGGACCATATGTTTGCCGTTCGTATCTACTTTATTCACGCAGCATATGATATTCATGACGGATTCACTTTAGACGTGCTTATGGATATTTCAGATGACTTGTTTTCTCTTTGAACACGGAAAACATGGCATAAGCATACTTTACAAGCTGGTCTGTTTACTAAGCGTAGAAAAGCCATGCCTTGGGCGTTAACCAACTCACCCTGCATTCAAATACTTCTCAAGTCGTGGATCATCCAGTTTAGGGTACTCGTACCAGGGGGAGATATGCTTGTCGGAGTACCGTAGAGTGCAGAAATTATCGATCCGCCGTTGGGCAATGCATGANATAGTGAGCATAGCGCAGGAAGCTCAGCAGGAACGTGTCCACTGGAACAAAGCAGAAAAGGAAATTTCGTGTGTACTCTGTCACCAGTTGTGGGGTTTGTTCGTCAATCAAATCTCAAAAGTTTAAACAGTTTAGGCGGTTATAGGTGTGTGTACAGGCAGCTTGTGCAGTTGTGGGCGAGCCAACTTAAAGCAGTCCCTACTATTCTCCACATATACACAAATAGGCATGACCATCGGTGCGCGATCGACTCATTCTCACAGCTTACCATGTACTCAGTAAAATCTTCACGCAGTGCAACTGGCCTACTGATGACTCTATGAAGTCAACACATTCACTAGTAAGCAAAGTTATCACTTATCAAAGGAGGTTTTTGCTACAGCACACTTTGTTGCGAGATGGAATCACAGTGAAACTCCACTGCGATGAATATCATTCCGTTGGCGGTTTCGTGTAATACGGTCAGTTTCCTGCCTTGAATCGAACAGAGGATATATCCAATTACCCTGTGCCCACACCTAATTTTTTACATCATACCCTTTCAAAAATTCAATGACTGGTATCAATTTTTATGAAGATATAAGTCATTTCACAAAGAACTGCGGATTGTGTTGTCTGTCGTCCTTTGGTTGTAGATTTTATGATTAGAACAGCGGTCACTCCTGAGGGTTAGAAGGTGTTTATTATTAGACTATACTCAGCACATTAACAATCCCAGTTTGTTTCAGTCTCATCTGAATACTGTAGTTTCCAGAGTACAGTTGCTGGCAAGGAGCGGTCTCTTACCCATTATGTACTATACTTGAAAAATTTACAAGGGGTATTTGACGCAGAAATTGCAAAATAATTCTGGTCTTGGAATGATATCTCCGGCAGAACCAATATCTTTTGTAAACAGTGATAAGAAACTGGAATTTCAGTTTTGTATTTATCTTGCAAGTAAAGCCCAACTGTGATGGAAAGCAGAGCAACTTCGAACAATCCTTTCGTTCTTGTTAGAAAACGCCAGAAATGCACATATCCGATATATTTAGAGTGATTCGAACCAATGAGGTCGCAGTTCAGCAATCGAGCATTCTACCATTCGGAAATGAGGGGCTGATGAGCGTTGGGGTAAAATTACACCCCGAGGGAATAGATTGATTCTAATCATCCAAGTCAACAGCTCTCGTGGTGTGATCCTCCTCGTCAAGCAATGATAATGCAGATAAAAGGCCCATGCAAGGTGTAGGACTTTTGTGTTTGTATACAGACTAATCAAGTTTTGAAGACAAACACATGCCTCTCACAGAGTTACTATGAGATAAAAGTCAATAATGAGTACAAAAATCATGTTACAGTCCCGGTTGTGTTTGTGAAGACAAACACATGCCTCTCACAGAGTTACTATGAGATAAAAGTCAATAATGAGTACAAAAATCATGTTACAGTCCCGGTACACTTGTGTTTGTGTGTGTGAAATATCTATGAAACATCTATTGTTAGACCCACTGTTTACAATGCACGTATGAATTTTTACCGCACATAGAACACTTTGACGTTTCTCCGAGAACCGTGTGTTGTTTGATGTGCAACTACTATTCACCAACGCCACCCTTGTTGAAACCGTGGGCTTATTAGGCGATTATCTGGAATCTCACCCAGAAGCTCCCCATTACCGTGCATAAAGGCCTCATTTTACTATGAACCAAGAACTTCGTACTACTCCCAGAGAAAGCCATAAGTAAGTTAATGGTGTCGCCATCGAGAGCTCTTTGGGACCAGTCCTAGCTGACATTTCTACGACAAAATTTGAGCAGTTGGAAAACGTCGGTATAGAACAAATATTTTCATATAAAAGATATTCAGCTGCTGTTCTACGCATCACAAACAGTGAGGAAGAAGCCTAATATGTGTTCTCCATTTCACGACTTCCATCAGAACATTTCGTTCAACTGTGAATTTGAGCAGAACAACCAACTTCTTTTCCCGGACGTTTTGATCTTCCGAAATACTGACTTTACTGTCTCGCGCTGCATATCGGGAGCCTACGTTGACCAGATTGTATCCGTTACGGTGAAAATTCCCTCTTTTACTAGTTTTATTTCACAGAGTTAGAGGAATTTACACCTCAACTTCACTCGCAAAAGGAAGCGAACTGCAATAATTACCCTGACCGATTCACCTAAAGGCACCTAACTCCAACTGATAAATCGATACTGCCATTCATAGTACCCAGAGAGAACACGTTCATTGATACTTCTAATGCCGGTGGTCATACTTTCAGCATGTTTAAACCAACACCAGACGCATCCTCGCACCAGACGTAAAATGTAGTGGTGCAGGAAATCCCATACGCGAGCTATGCCACCAACAGTAACACTCAGAATGCCAAATTCCGTTGTATCCACAATTTGTTGGATTTATTAGTTCATCTGCAGTTGCGGTAGTGAGTATATTGGCAGAACTGGTAGGAGGTTTGAAATGAAAGTAAAGGAGCACGCGCTAAGAAACCTCGCATCACGTCAACTGAATCTTACCTAACGCTAATCGAATTCAGGGTCAAATCGCTGATCTTTGGTTATTTGATCGACACAAGTCGCCTAACTGAACTTAACTTATTGTTCCAGGTCTAAGCACTTAGTGGCCACAGAGATTGAATTTCCGTGCGGCCCTTTACACGTGTTCTCAGCAGGGCGTGAAGCGCACTCTGAGACTGTCTTGGTTTTATTGCTTGGTCACGTTTCAAAACTATCTGATATGAGTTGCTCAATTGTAAGCTGAGTGACTGCACTCTGTTGATCAGCTGAATGTTAGAATGTTTAAACCCATATATGGGTTGCTACGAGTTCGACTTGTCCAAGAGATTCATTAAATCCACTCTATCGACGATTTTCAAAAGCAGCTGTACAGTACCTGTCAGCTTCCAAGCAGGGACCAATCTGTCGAGCTGTATATAATTCATACTCAAGTTCATCAAACCATGCTGAATCGACAGAACTTGGAAAACCGAGTGTTTTGAGGCGTAGCAACGGTGAGTCCTGTAAACGTTGGTAGAATTTCGGGACAAGTTAGGCTGATCATAACTGAAATAAGCTTATACACACTATAGTACCATGCATCTTCAGCATTTGCTAAAGCAGGCAAATTGGAACTGTTCACATGTCTGGGTGACGTATTACTTCGTAACTATTAGGGCAATCTAAGCCAACCATAATATAGTTTTAGCCTTTTCTCTGTGGAGCACCGTGACTTCAGAAGAGGAGTTACATATTCACATCTTCCTGGAAGATGCGGCATACTTCAATTGTTCTCGGACTTATGATCAATTCAGGTTCCACGTGTGACCATTTTAATGGTGAGTGCAACTGCATTGGGATAACCTGATTACAATAATGAGACATACTACAAAAATTGAGCAATTGTATGCGACTCTAGTGAAAGTCTGGAACCAGAGGTGCTTGAATTCAGCTTGCCTAGTAACGCATATCTGTGAGCATTTCTATGTTCCCTGTTAAAAATGAATGGCGCTCTCTCCAGTAATGTTAACCGCAAGTACTTACTAGGCAGCGCGCACAAAAACGTTCATCCTTGTTCTAATCTATGTACCCGTGCTTGGAATAAATTACTGTTTGCCGTACGGGGGGTTATGTAGCGGAACTTGACCGTCAGATGAGTCGCCGTGCTATATCCAAAGTGCCTGAGTTCTTGGGAGTGACAACCACTGTCATGCAGGGTTTTGCAATGCTAGCAGACGAAGAAGATGTAAGGAGTGGCTGTTCGATTCTAAACGGGTATTCCTAATTGCACTGTAGATGATGGAGAGTTTGTAAAATTAGCTAGGAAAAGAAGCTTGTTTCAAGCACGTTTTCAAACGTGGCTTTTACAGTCTACACGGGACGACCCGAAGGAACAGATTGTTTCGACATGGGAGGATATAATGATAAATAAAATCAACGCCTTTTCAATAAGTACCCTACCAAGACATCACGTTAGCTACAAAAGCGTCTGCACAACATATATCGATCGGATTCCGGCTAATGGACTATAGTGTACCCAGAATCACAGCTACACAAGACGACAAGATATTTTCCAGGTAAATTAAAACAATCTTTACCAGAGGATAAGTAAAGTTAAGACAAGAATCTTTGAGACAGTATGTGCATCAAAAGAATGCAAGGTTTTTAATGCTTGCTCAGTTGTGCTATGCTCAGTCACCCGAGCTACAAAAGGAATGGCGAAATGCGAATCATTTAACTGTTGAGTGTGCACAATAGGATATAAATAAATCTCGTGTTAGGCTGTGAAGTTACAGGCGTGATGTGATGTTTATTTGTAATGCACCCTTTATAAGGTTGCTGAAAATTCTTCGACAGCCCACGACCGGTTTCGCCCTTCTTGGGGCTCATCGAATCGGTGCGCAGTCCCCTAGTTTCCGTCAACCTTATGTTCTACTTGAAACCAAACTGTAAGAAATTAGCGAAATACACTCATTTGCAAACAAATTTGTTTTTTTGAGAGACTCACCTGGAACCCAGCTGGGTTGTGATTTTGTCTGGAAACATCAATTTTGTTACTGATATTTTACTGAGATCCTTTGTGAGTATGGCGTGCGCGTTCACTTCCTGATGTACTTAACTACTGTGCACAATCAGGTACGGTTTGCTTGGAAATTTTTAATGGTGCATACATTGATTTTAAAGGGACCCATTACCCCCTACCAATTTCCCGGGTCCTTGGGTCATTTGGAGAATCGAAAGCACCCAACAGGAAGAAGGGGTCACTTGAAGGTGCAGATCTGATAAGGTTTGACGGCTATTCGTAGAATTTTTTAATTTGTGCCTTTCAGACTGACACATTCAGCGAGGATTGCCCTCCAAAAACGGAATCGGATGATCACTATCCTCGAGTTGAATCAGCTTGGTGAATCCATCATTGTTTGACTCATGTGGTAAGCGAATTCTACAGCGTGGTCGCGTCGGCCTCCATCAGAAAGATAACCAGGACCATCTTCCTGCAGCCTCATTGAATCTAACAGCATTTTACCATTGAATGCAATGTCCGAGTTCTTTTTCAGTAAAACCAGTTAGCCTTTAAGACCAGTCACCCCATTTTTATTCAGAACCGTCCGCAATTATCAGGGTTTAATTTGTGGAAAACGCGTCCTCTTCCCTGCCCTATAACACTTCACTTGCGACACATTGGAACATTTCGACCATAAGGCCCGGAAATAGGGGAGTATCTCCATCTATCTCACCCCTGGTTTTTGATCTCAGGACATTACCCACAATAAAACGGGTGGTTAACCCAACCTGAGTGTGCAGTAAGTGAGACAGTTTTAACTTCCAATACCACTGCGTATGGCAGGTCCCTTGAAAACCACCGGACTCCTGGTTTTTAAGAGTCGTTAGCCGTGTTTTGGATAGTGTGCCGGCTGACATGGTCTTGTATACGTCCTTTCCTCCTTTAAGAGAGGAGGGTCTATATGTCATGCCCAGCAGGAGATCATACTGCAGACTGGCAGAGAGAGAGGAATCCTAAAGGGCAGTATTTCTTGTAGGATTAACATGTGGTAGTTCCTCCCCTGTAATGAACGCCCCAGCAGAGATTACAAAAATCCATCTTTAGTGGAGTTTTATTGATGATGATGATGATGATGATGATGGCTTTGATGGTATTTATAGCTTTTAAAATTGGTATTCTTTTGATGCCAAACGTAGGTCAAAGCAGACTTTACACTTAAACGTTTTCAGTTTGACATTCTTCTATCAGCAGCTGCGTCTTTTTTTAACAATCTCAAAGTCATGGATAAATAAATACTGCAATGTTCACCCGATATTAATAAAAAAACTAGCGTGGTGAATGTTTTCGAAGCCTGGATAAGAAACGGTTTCTGGTCGCTGTAAATAGCTTGTCCATTTCATCTAGCACTTTTGTTATCACGGCCCCCAGCATATCTCGCGACAGACACAACCTACCATGAGTACCATATAAAATTACACCAAGCGGTAGCGATAAAGAGTACTTCGTGCACCATTTAGGTGAATCGAAAGTGTACGCGGAAAGACGACTTCCTTAAGTGGGTTGACTTCAGCTGTTCTTTTGGCTTAAACATAGAAGAAAACCTTCGATTTGTGTGTACGCGATGTTTGGGGATACCAGTGGTAAAAATCCTTATACGGAGCTCAAACAAGCTTGCTAAAATTTTGTGAAAATTCCACAAAATACGTGTTTGTGTGATCAAAAAGGTCAGGTTAGCAAAATAGGTTGAAAGCACCATGTTTAGTTAAAATGAATGGGTTCCAATGCAGAATAACAAGATGCACCATGATTAGACTTGACGGAGTAAGAATTCGTGAACCATCCCATTTGGACAAGATTTATATCTTAATTTGTTCGCACCTGTGCTTATGGATATATATATATATATATATATATATATATATATGAATGCATGCCAGAAAAGCCTTGTATCAGTGTGACAAAGTAACAATATCTTAATGCTACCTCATAACCGTTATTGTTCCAAATTCTGAAGCGTGCAAGCACAAAAGTCATCGGTGACATCAGTACTTGGAATTACAAAGTTTCAGCTTCAAGTTAAGTTTCCACTTTGATTCAAACACTCTGTTGAGGTATGCATTCAGATGGAAGCAGTCCGTATAAAGAAGAATCAGCGGTTTCTTTCGTAGTGGTGTTGATTTGCTGGGTTCTTATGATGGGCACTTGTGAGCCAAGCTACTAGCCACAATGCTTTGACCAGGTTGTTCTGTAACTTAAGTAGGTTTTCATAAAGGAAACTACTCACAAGGTTATTGAAAACTCTTCGACAGCCCACGACCGGTCTCACCCTTCTTGGGGTCCATCAGGTAGGCGCAGTCCCCGACTTTCCGTCAACCTTTTGGTCTACTTGAAGTTAATATTGGCTCTTTAGATCGAACACGCTGGTTGGCTCCGAAGTGGGTCAAATCCATCGAAAATTGCTTCGACAATTCCCCGTTAATGGCTTTTGCATAGAAAGACCATATATAGATATATATCCTCCTGTGGGTATAGCCATAGTGGTTCTTTTTGAGGGAATCTTTGTTTTAGGGGGATCGACCAGACTCCTATTTCTGTGGTGGATCCTAATTCGCATAATTCACTCTACATTGAGTGTCTTGTGTCTCTGTTTAACTATTCTCTGTTATAACTATTGTTCTGTGTTATTCGATTATTATTATTATTATTCTATGTTATTCTCCGGTTGTTTTACTTCGTCTGAAATGTGGTTCTACACGATTGGCAATACATATAGGATGGTGAAATTTTTCGCAGAATGCAGTCAATTGGAGTCGTGACTTGTTACCCACTCTTTCATCTGCTTTTGAGCCATTTGATTATTCGACCTCAGATTTACAATGTGAACTAAATTGCTCACGGCAAATCTCCTGATAAGCCAATTTCGGAGATCTGGAGAAACCCTTTATAGTCGAAATTCCTTCGGCGATAAAAGGATGTGCTCCAATCGGATGGACAGGTGCGTCAATGAAACGCGTGCTAGGAGCCCAGGCAAGATAAAAATGGTTTGGACTGTCGATGGTTTGGTGTCTTTTACACGCGAATTATTCATACGATCGACTAGTATTTGTACTAAACTCAAAACCTGGGAACGTTCTTCGCCTAGACTAAATTTTACCAGATGTTACGTCTGCGTGGTGTCATGAGGTTCGGGAAGGCACCATGTAAAACCAGTATGATCAAAATATGCCTCTGGGAAACCGCGTGTAAGAATCACTGCAGCTACATGAATTTTCGACAACCCTTATACTGGTAATCACTAGGCCTCCTGGTATTAGTTGAGCAATTTTAATCAACGCTTTCCCGACTGATCTACAAGATTTTCATTTCACTTCTGAGGCTTTGGAACGTACTGTCCCTCATATGTACTAGGTACTTGCGTTTCACGACTGGGCTTTAAGCAAGCATTGTTCGGAGCGTTGAACTGAAAATCCAGAGAAGCTATAGTGACTACTATGTGGCTCATTCTCATGCGTTGCAGCGGTACGCATAAGTCACGGAAACAATTGCATGGATAGAATGGGTTCAGTGAACAGTATCAATAAGAAGTAAGGCAGGTAGTCAGTAGAGGAAAACTGCTCTTTTGAACATCCTCACTCAGTGGCCAATCACCACACTAAAACAGAGACCACATTTCCATGAGTCAAAAAAAGACGGGACCTCTGTTGGAGAACAGTAGAGCTTACATTCCAATTCTTTTCCTGTACCATTTAGGTGTTTGCCACGTCAACCAGGCATCCAATGGAAAAATCCGCGATGACCGGAAGAAACTAGTCCTTCTAGAGAAAGTTGCCTTCCGGAAGGGTACATTGATTGGACCACTGCGTATATGAACATGCATGTATCCATATGATATCTCACTTTAATGAAGACTATTCTTTGAACCTGGTAAATGCGGTCATTCCTGGGGAGCTGTGGGGATTCTCCTTTCGGAGGATCTACAGACCCATCGATTATTCGGGACAAATGAATGGTCCTCAAGTAAGGTTTTGTCTTTGCAGAATTTTTTTCGGGGTTTGTAGTCAAAACATAGGAAATTCATATTTTCTTACTCTGGATACCCCAGTTTTAAAAAGGGAACTATTTTTAGTGGTGTAGTAAGCTGGAGAAACTAGCCAAGATCTGTGGCTCTCAGGTATAAAATTCAAAGCAGTCCTTAAGATGAATGAGCAGGATACTACGACGAAGGTCACAGTCCGATAGCTGCTTGACTGTACAGCTTAGGAAGTTCGAATGCACAGGTGAAATACTTGAGGCCGCAAGCTTGTTTGGCAAAAGTATCCGACATTGAGAAGGAATCTCAAGCAACCGAATGGGGCTTGGAGAAGTGGTGACAAAAGCTGCGACTAACCACAAAAACCTTGACCAGATCATAACCACCAGATATTATCTCGGAATGCCCCGGAACTTGGCAATTCGACTACAAGAGTGGAACTTCTCGATCCGGCATCTTGCGAGGAGTGAAAAACCACCTGGCTGACTGATTTTTAATACCAGAGGTTTGAGATGAATCTCCGAGGGTCCTAACCGTTGTCGATAACTTCACCGTCGAAGCTGACTTCTTGTGGCTGGTGCACCTACAGCGACAGAAACTATAGCCACTTTGTTCAACATTAGAAGCATTGAGGATACGAAGGTAGACAAAGAACTGGGGGTATTCTGGAAATGCATCGGAGGACTGAGAGTGAATGAAGCTGGCGTATTAAAACTGAAGTACGACGATTCGAACGTCGTAATGCCCATGATATCCCGTGACTTGAGCAGATAGCTGACCATCAAATGCCACGGGGTGGAACACACAGTGTTCTCCAAAACGTGCGACTTGCTTCGGCAGAGAGCCAGCTGACCAGGGGTGAGGAGCAACGAAGAGAACCATGTCGTGACCTGCGAGCGGTGCCAGCCAATTGAAAGGGATACCGCACGGGCAACTCCACAGTTGCAGGAGCGTTTCCCATCATCAGTACAGTTGAGCCTTGTTACTTTGTTTGATGTAATTGATGGATTGGAGCAGGCTTCTACAAGTTCTCTAGTCAGCCTGACCCAATCGGGTCCGTTCTGACTTCAGGTGGTTACACTTGGCTCTGCATAGTCCTCTGAGTTTGTCCAGCTGAGCTCAGGACTTCCACCACTGCTGATCGACGAATCAATCAATCAAATGAAGCAAACTCTAATCCTTCCTCACTTCACGTTCATATAGATACGGATGCTGTTTTGAAAAAACAGACTGTAGTGGATCAACAGACTAGTTGCATACCGTAACTTTTCATATAGATACGGATGCTGTTTTGAAAAGACAAACTGTAGTGGATCAACAGGCTAGTTGCATACCGTAACTTAGCAAGCCAGAACTTTTCGGTCCCCATAAATTCAGTCCCCTGTTTTGAACTACAGTTCTCTAAGTAGACAGTTGACTGTACATACTTCGGCAGGAGCGTGTAACCTAACCGTAGCGATCCCTGAGTTTCCATCGATATGTCAGTATCGAACAACCGCATGGCCATTAAACTATGAAGTGCGTTGCAAGACAAAAAGGCGGTGTAGTCTTACGAAACATTCGCGTATTAGTTACCAATACAATTAGCAGCCATGGGGACACTCAGGCGGACAACAAGTGAAACTTGTGGAGAACATATCTGCTGCATCTTTCTAAGAATGTAGCGATGATCCAAGTCCAGGGTTAAATTTTCTGTGAACTCTTTTGACGTAGTTATTCAAGTCCTCAGCAGACTGGGTGAAAATATAATTCAGATTCGTAGAAACAATGCACAACTATCTTGCTGGATCACATTCGGATGTTGTTTCTCCGCGTGGTCCAAAGTAATCGCCGGTTATCGTTCTGTTATTCTGATCGATTCACATTCGTTGACCTCTCAGTCGGATAGAAAACCAGTTTGCGGACAGCTTTACCACCGGACCTCGTGTACAGCTAAGACTTAATTCATCAAGGTATTGAGAAGGTATAAGAGCGTAGTTCGTTTCAATCCAGATGAGTAATTGTGTGCGGCTATCACATATACTTCGTAAATATCAAACCTTGGTAACGAAAACAATCATTGGTGACACAGAAGATTCCAGCTTCGTCGGGGGAACAGGTAACAGCATCAGGGGCATAATTCTTTTGTGGCAAGCTTTTTTTGGTTTCATGTTCAAGACTTTAGAGAACATAAAAGCCAGAGTAAGTGGACTTGCACTACACTGTTCAGAAAGTGTGACAAACGGGAAGCGGCAGTGGAAAGCATATAAATAAGTGCATCCGTGAATGCTCAATAAATTTTCACACAGTAGACTGCATGAAGGGTTCACATGGACATTCGCTAAACGATTGCAACCACGTGACACTGATAAAATTATTTCATTGCAAAGATTTAAATTTATTGAACGGGAGCAAAAGGATCTTGTTTAGTGGGTCACTCCAAAACCCGACTAAAATCGCGCCGTCCTACTGAGGGTTATTTTTAAAACATAATCTATCTTTGACTTATAAACTCATCCGCATACCGATTGGCGACTCATCTGAAATTCAGTTTAATGTCTTGTTTATGATGTTCTCAATCAGCTGAATGTGTTGCAACAGATCGCTTTATGTTTTATTTGGTGCGGTGTTCGATAAATATCACAACAGATTGCATAGACGTGAATCACTACTCACAGGGTCACCGAAAACTCTTAGACATTTCATAGCCCGGTTTCCGCTTCTTTAGGTCTGTGGTGTTTTTGTCAACCTTATGTTCTACGTGAACCCAAATTGCAAGAAGTTCGACTCATACACACAACTGCATACAAATTTCGGGCAGTTTGAACCCCTCTACTGTCTCAGGTGCTTCTCAACAGGCGTTCGTCCTAGAATCTGCTGGTTTTTCGATATCTTGTGTGCTTAATTTTCGCCCGCCATTTCGGGCGGAATAGTGTTCAGTGTGCGACACTTGAAGAATGTTGATTGATAGTACAAGTTTGTGTGCAGATTTGTGTAAGCCACTCGAATGACATCTTTTCAGTCAGTCTCAAAATCTAAATACATTTGTTAATTGTGTCTATCAGGCGATAATAGGAGAGATCAATATCTTAGGCTAGATGTAGGCCAAAAGTGCTTCGTTTTATTAGCAGCTGTTTGTGTCCGTCGCGAGGAGACTGGACCTTATAGTGGTGTGACAGTTTGTGTCTCGGCGACCTATCGAACTTTACTGCTGGGTGTCCGCGCGACACACTCTCATACCAGGTTCTTCAATGGTTAGAATTCTGAAGAACACAGTCTTCTGATTCTTTGCGTAAGGGGCCGGAAGATGTGGCAACGTGTTCCGTAAAAATGGGAATGTACCTGGATTTCTTGATAAACACCGCTGCTTGATGGTCAGTCTTTTGAGCCAAAGTCTTTGGTTCAGGAACCTGATAGTCCTTTTGTCTAGGTGTGGGCTCCCTGGCAGCATCCCAGCCCACAAAAAACCACGAATCGCACACGTACAAATAAACTAATGCCACATTGGCCGTCGCGTGGTGCCATCAACCGGGCTGCCTTATTAGCTGCATACAGAAGGGCGAGTAAGCGAAAACAGACTACTGATAACGCCTCCCTTCCTTTTCTTTCATACACTCTTTTTCCCCCTCTTCTTACCCTTTTAATAACTCTCTCCTTGTAGGCCCAGTGCTCAGAACTGATAACTTCGTTCGGCCTGCAACTGTTTTGCACCAAGGTTATACGGCAACGAAGCGTCAGTGTTGAACACTGACGTCATATTCTCCATGCTGAAGATGAATCATTCCTTCGTCAACAGGGTTGCGGTGCGGTAAATGAAAAGTATATGCTCTTTAGTTCAGATATTGCTTTTATCCACCACCAAATTCAGCACTAGGTTGGTTTATACTGCTTCCATGTTTCAACATCTATCATGCAAATATCCAGGATAGCTGCCGAGTAGTGGTATGAGATCTCTGTGACTTAAAACCAAGATTGTAGGACGCTCTAAGTTGGTTTACAGTTGGAATCAATAAGCTTCCAAGCAGCGTTTGTGCCACAGGTCCACCTTAACCGCTTTGTCGGATCATTATTAGAGGGCTATAATAAAACTATTGGGAAATGAAAATACTATATTCTTGAGGCTGTTGCTCATGAATTTCATCGGTTCTTGCGGTGACTTTTTCTAGCCACCCCTAGATAAACTGAGCTCAATCCCGTCTCATCGTGATTTGAAAACGACGTCTCCAAGCTTTGGAGGCCTGCCAGATTAAAATCAACCACAGTTCTTCAAAGTTCGTTTAGTTCGTTGTTAAGAATGTAAACCTGAATGTCTCTCAGAGACATATGACACAGTATTTGGTCTGTTTCCCACCAAGGATCCTCACTGCAATGTGCACGCTCAGGGTTGTACAGAATAAATTGCGCCCAATGCTTCTGAAGTTTACCTATCCTGTTAAATATGTAGCTTTAGTTCTTTACATACTACTCACAAGGTTGATGAAAACTCATCAACAGTCCACGGCCAGTTTCGCCATCTTGGTGTTAATCAGGTAGACGTAGTCGCCGAGTTTTCCCCAACCTTGTACTCTGCTGGACAGTAAACTACAAGCAGCTGGTAAAGTGCACTAATTTGCAACTTAGAAATCATGAGTACTGCTCTTTTAAGATCTACTGGATCTTAAATATCTTAAGAATTGAAACAAGAAGCCTCCCTTGTGTGGCACGGTTAGTTAAATGTCATAAATAAGCGATTCAGTTGAGTTTCAGTCGAGTCTCTCGTTGTAACCTACTTAATTTTCAAACGCTTATATTTTGAGGGGTTTGATTCGGTTTTGACAAGGACACTTGTCGACAAATCGATGGGGCAACAGGATGCCTGGTTGAATTAGATCGAGCGGACGTCTTTATGAAATGGCGAATGACTGTGCGTCGACATAGAAAACGCCGATAAAAATCGCTATGCCATTACTTTGTTTGCCATATGGTGTGACCACCCACATGATAGAATGTTTAGACTGATACTGAAATCGGTTTTGGCGGCGACGCAGTAGGCTCGCTGCGCTTCACATAAAGAAAAATTTGTACGAAGTACATTCCACAAGTTAACCCCATTCTTCAGTTGTCTTATTGCTAAGAGCTAGCATCCGGTTATGTAGAAAAGAATCCAAGTTAAACTTTCGGTGATCAAAGTGTGATAGATTGGCTCTGATGAGAAATGAGCAAATGAACTGGATAACACAGCAGGTAGAAAGGGGACAATGGATCACACCAAAATGTCAGGGGATAATAAGGGAAAAATCAGCCGCGTTTCTCAGGGATTTTGTAATGGATGGATTGTAAGAATTACAGACGAATGCAGTGACGACCGAAATGAACTTTCGCAAGAACGTCTAATGCCGTCTTTTTAGTGGTGCTAACCAAGCCACAACGAATATGGGGTGAAATTGACGTGGATAATCTAGGTCCTCGTGTACTGTTTTTTATGTTTGCCCTTTTCACCAGATGAAATTAGGAGATGGCTCTCCAGAAGTACACCCATTTGCAAATCAATTTGGTTTTCACGGGAGACTCAATTGAATCTCTCGTTTATGATGTCCTCCAACTGAATGCGCTGCACACAGGCCGCCTCATGATTCAGTTGGCAGGATATTCTTTTATGAAAATATACTGCGATATCTCGAATATCGTGCCAACTGAATCATGAGGCAGCCTGTGTGCAGCACATTCAGTTGGAGGACATCATAAACGAGAGATTCAATTAAGTCTCCCGTGAAAACCAAATTGATTTGCAAATGAGTGTATTTCTCGAAAACAGTGCAATTTGGGTTTAACTAGATCATAAGGTTGACGGAAACTCGGGGACTGCGCCTACCTGATGAGCCCCAAGAAAGGCGAAACCGGTCGTGGGCTGTCGAAGAGTTTTCAGCAACCTTGTGGGTAGTTTCCTTTATGAAAATAAGAGATGGCTCATTTCAAAAACGTCAGCGCACATGCGAACGGCCCAGCGTCCATCGCTGTATAATTTATATTCAGTTCATGGTGATCTAACAGAAGAAAGTTACCTAGTTCGTATTTTAGGCATAGACTTACAGAAACCGGGTATCTCATGACTCATCACCATCTGTTTCATTCAGGAATTTTGCCCGAACAGCCTGAATTTGTGGTCTAGCTTGCTTTGATTTTACTAATGTCTACAGTTTGTTCGGTTGGCCCATCCTTACGGTTCAATCTCTTCATCTGATCCGATCTGCCTTTGCCAGCTGCAGTGATCCGGCCGACCTTATCTAAAATCCATCATGCATTCTGCTTTACCTTAGGACGGAATATGACCAAATGGTTGGTGGGGTTGATTTTAATTCCTTCCAACATCAAGTGATTAATCTCTTGTCACTCATGAACCAATTGGAGAAAATTGAGTGCAGGAAGCTCCATCTAATTCGAGTGAACAGAATGCGTTTATAGGTGTACTGTCCAATCCTGGGTTAAGTCCACTAAAACAGCAAGGCAAAATTGGTTCAGATGCTGTTGCGCTTTCCACACGATTAACCATTATGATTTAGAATGCCCAAAATCCTTGGATTTCTTTCATGTATTCTACAAACATGACGGCTTCAGTATCGAATAAACAGCCCACAGGTCACGGATGAGCAACCGCGTGATGAATATGGCGCATGGTATGCACTCTCTATTAGGTTAGTTTAATCTCATACAGAGTATTCTGTTAGAAGGAACACGTTTGAAGGGACATGTGAAAAAAGTCACAGCCATTGGGAGCAGGTTAAATGCATGTGGATTTCTGCATTCATTCCTATCAAGTCTGCAAAACCAAGCATAGAAATGGAAACAAATCTGTACCTAAGAAGCC